CCCCCGCGCCCAAACAAAAAAAAAAAAGAGGACTCCACAGTGCAATGGAGTGTGATTTCTGATAATTTCCTAACAATGCTTGTTGTGACAGTTACCACTGGAGTCTTATAGTAATATGCTATTTTGGCAAAGTGGTCGACTACGAAGGCAAGTTGTTTCCAAATGCATGCTGTTTTTTGCAAATAAGTTTTTCTATGCTCCAACATTTCTTTCTTTTATTTCATATTTTAGATGTTGATGCAAATAAATTAGCCAGAGTTCCATGCATATTGCATATGGATTCTATAAAAGGAAGTCACGCGGGCCTTAAGGATCTTATGCAAAGGTATATTTTCCATTGCAGTTATTATTAATAGAGGTACTTTTGTAGAGTGTTTGTGTGTAAGAGTAGTGGGATCCAGGCAGCTTGTATGAGAGTTGATTCATGTGAGAATGGAGGAAAAAACTTGCGTTGCAAGAGTACTAGCCAATTCGGTCTCTATGCCAAGTGAGGGTGCTGTAGTTGCTTTTTTTTTTTTAGCAGGGAGGATTACTACAATTTTCATGTCTTCCTTCTATCCTGTTAACTTATAAATGAAACTCCATTTGATAAGATTGTGGTACTAAGGAGACTCCGCCTGAAAAATACTTGTTTGAAAACCTGTACCTGCTTGTACATGACCCATGAATTATTGCAAACACCAAACACTTATCCATGATCCATGAGAACTCTTCAGTTAATCACTGGTAACGAGTTAAAATGGATGTGGCCGTAGATCAGATTGGAACACTTGACACTTTCTGTATAAGCTTCAGCATGTTGGTTATTTCTGTATTTTATCATTTGTTTCTTTCAGATTTTCCTTTTTCTTAAAAATATAGAAAGGTTTATATTGAATTTGATGTCTTACCTGTCAATTAATAACTTGAAAATGACAGTTATCTATGGGAGGAGTGGAAAGAAAGGCAGAAGGAAACACATGAAGATTTGTACTCAAAATTTAGAAACTTAAAATTCATTTCACTTGAGGTACTATTTTAGTCTTTGTTTATTCTTTAGTATCTGATTTTTTGAGTAGATAATTCAGTTATATTGTATATATATGTGCACCGATAAAGATTTAGTGACTTATTTTTTTGGACACTTAATTCTAATATTCATTAAATTGACATTCCTTAGCATTCCTAAAATGTTTGGAAAGCATCTTGTTTGATCGGTGGAAGGCTTTTACTCGTGACCCAGCCTTAGTTGAAAAAATGGCAGGATCATTCTTGTATTTTCGTGATTGATTCTTTGGTTGTCCCCAAAATACCAGAAAATTGAAAGAGCGGAATAGGAAATGACTAACTCAGCCCACACCATCTCTTAAACTCGCCCAGCCCTCTCAATCACACATGCCTTAATCTGGGATTATTTATTAAGCACCCATATATCAGAGAAAAAGGAGGATTATAGAATGCTATGTCGCAGCCCACTGACATTCGGATTTGTATCTTGATAAATTCGTAAAGATGTGGTTGCATTGTTGGAGCCCATTTTAGATGCTTCAATATTCAATAGCGTGGAGGGAGGGAAAAGTTAAATATGCTAGTAAAGCACAATTTTTTGTTTAATGGATTATGATTTGCTTTGATCTGGGCATGAAATATTTTGAGTGGTATTCGGAGATTGTGATGGAAACTTGTCGATGGCTAGTATGATAAAGTGTTATCAAGTGTTTTAACCTTTCAAGGAAGGGTAATTGACATTGTATATAACATATTTAAGACGGGTTTTGTGTACAAGGCCTGGGATTTATGTTGTTTCTTTTCCTTTTTGTGTGTTGTCTACTTGTCTTGTCAACCCATGTCCTCAAGCCATACTACATGCACACACTTGGCACCTTAGTTTTCTCTATAAATACCAGAATTTAGATTATTTAAAATAGTGGAATGTGTGCCATTTTTGTGAGAAGGATACTTTCTAACAATATCTGAATCTGTTTGATTCCATATTCATGAAACTTGTATGAGTCTTTATTTTTATGTTTGGGCAATTTGTATTTTCTCCAGCTGATATATTCAAATTGAAGGTTTTACCTTTTGGTTTCTGGTTGGTTGTTTAGTTACTTCTAAATGAAGTTCTAGCATATTTCTGTTTTTGGCATTGCTGTGTCTGTGTTATAGGCAAGTACTTTGACCTAACTTCAGCATGCATTTGTGCAGCTACCTCAGCAGCAAAACTCATTTGACTGTGGCCTCTTCTTGCTTCACTATGTAGAGCTTTTTCTCGAGGAAGTTCCTGCTGACTTCAACATACATAAGATAACTTCATTGAGCAACTTTGTAAGTACATTGCTTGATTTTAAATAGAGATGCAAGCTTCACAATTTTTCCATATGTTCAAATTTATTGGACTATAATTGTTGAAAAATGCATACTTAAATTGATAAAATGGGCTATATAAAGTAGGATCAACGTCGAGCATTTTGTTTCCTCCCAATTTTACCATGCTTATGTGATTCCCAAGTTCCTCACATGCTTAACTGGCCAATGATGCCAACTTGTTAGATGGCATTAACTAATGATTATTGTAGTTTTATTTGCATTTGTGTATTATGAATGCGATAGGTGTCAAATTGCTACATATATGCCATTTTCACTCGAATCGAGACAAATCTAGATGTAGGTAGAGTAGGTCAATTAGGTTTTAGTAACAGTGACGGACTTAAATAGAGTTCACTAATGAAGAGTTCACTATTTATGAAGTGTCGTGTTACATTATGGTTAAACTAGCTTAACTAGGCTTCTATCAAGGTTATTAGGAAAATGGTAGGAAAATAAGTGTGATCAAGGGCTAATAGGCTTGACTCTGTAGGAATAATATGTACCAAAAGTTATTGGATCATGGTTTTATATAAGGACAGAAAAAGAAGTGATTGAGAAATAAATTGAGGGGAAATAAACAATTTGGTAAATAAGCTTCCAATAGGTGTCAACTCATACTTTCTTGGTCAGTTCTTAATCCTTAAGGGTGTGTTTGGTCATTGGATTATGAGAATAGGATTAGGAGAGAGAGGATTAGGGAGATTTTATTGTAAGGTGGATGGAGTATATTGTTCTAATACGACATTTGCTGCTACGCCGTATTAGAATGACATACAAGTATTTAAAAATAAGAAATTTATGACAATATACATGTCCAAGCTTTAAAAAATTTAATGTTAGAAATATGTATGGATAACTCTCTTATTTTTAAGAAAAGTACTTTATTTAGACTTAATTATTGTGTTATGGATTTTATAAATTATCTTCTTAAAAATAAATTTACTTATTTATCTACAAATATGTTTGGATTTCTTTTACGTAAATATTTTTTTCCCTTAAATTAACTCTTATGTTTCTTATTTTTAATTTTAATTTATAAAAATAGATATAATTTTTAAAACTTACTTATCTGCTTATAAGTGAATTTGCTTGCAAGTAAAATTTCTACTTGTGAATAACGGAATTGCGTATAAGTACAAAAAAAAAAAATTTTTACTTAAATTTTCTTGTAAGTAAAAAATTCACTTTTACTTAAGTAAATTTATGTATTTCAATAAAACTTACTTTTTACGTGTTATGATTCATGTAAAGAAAATGAATTATCTAGTCTAAACCCATCTCATGGAGCATATTATTTTAATTTGTTTGACTAAAGGAGAATAAGTTTCCTAGATTAATTTTTAATCCGGATATTATCAAACACCGGATAGTATTAAGTTAATTCTTATCCAGTCTAATATGACACGCCAAATGTGCCCCCCAAATGCTTTAGTGGTTCTTAAGAGTTCTAATTAGCACCTCACCATGTGGAGTAAAACATCTCAACAAATTTAAATTCTACCTTGCAACTCGAAACATGAAATAGATTAACAAAATTGGAAAATCATAAATTATCGAAGTATTGATTGCATAACAAGTCCAATAATTCCGGTACTAGAACTAAAAGTTCAATACAATGAAACATCTGTCCGACTATATAAGACCAGTAGAGAAAAGTTCACTGTACTGTCATTGTTCGTGTGCCTTTGAAGAACTGCAATCTCACATTGAGGGGTTATTGCATTTCGTTGCAGCGTGCTAGAGCGTGCCTATTCTTTTTTCTAGTTTAAGGGTTGAGATTGTGTCTATGATAGCAATAAAAATTCTAGAAAGAGCAACGACAAGACAATTCAACACACACCTCAACCGCTTTGATGTTTATGCCCCAAGGTGTGCACTTCTGTAAGTCGACGTGTATGTTAATGAGATTGAATAAGATTATGGAGATCATCGAAGATTACAACTTGATGTTTATATTACCATTATAATTGTACTCTATATAGATAGATTGCTTTCATCATATTTAGTTGTGATTTTCGTTTTATATAAGACATCGAGTCTTATTGACTATCATTGAGTATATTTGACAGTGTATGCCTTATCAAATGGTACTCAAGGCACGTAAGACATGCCTCAAGGCATGAGCTTTGGCATTTTCTGAACATTTCTTTTAGCTGTTGCTTGTAATCAACAAATCCTTCATTTGGGCTTACAATTTTATTAGCTTAGCTTGGTATTGTAGAAAGATCACTTGTAAGAGGGTCTCTTAACTCACGTGGTCTCACTGGTTTTCATAGTCTTAAGACTTAAATAACTTTGTCTTTCAACGTACTATTTAGGGGTCTAGGAAGCAGAAACATGCTTCCGGCGCCGGTGAGTCGGTGTCCGATGTCGTATGGACGCTAATACGTGTAAGATATGCAAGGTGGCTTGTCCACATTTTTTCCTCTACGTGCGGACATGTCCCGGACATGGCGTAGACATGCCGTGGCCCTTTAAGATTAATTAGCAAACGGGAGAACTAACCTAGTTTATCTTCATTCTCCATTTCTCAATCCCGGGCTTTGTTTCATCAGCGTCTTGAGTTTGCAGCAAATCTGGCAAAAGGTGTTGGATGTTATGGGATCTTTCATCAGTGTCGGTGCAAGAAAACAAATCTGGAACTCCAGCTTTCTTTTATTTTGACTTGCCAAACCCTAGCTTTCTTTTCTTTTTGAACAGCAAGACACATTTATTTCTTATTAAAATTTTCGTTTCCCATTTGATTAAACCATTGGACTTTTAACCATTTATTAAAAAATTTTGCGTGCCTTTTTTATCAACAATAAAGCAATTCACCTCTTTTATTTTTAAAGCAATCGGCCTTTTCTGAAAATCAGGCCCTTTTTAGCCATCAAATTACCAAATGACCCTTGATTTCAATTGAAAATAGAACACACATATCTTCCGTTTCTGAATGTAAAATTAATAGTTTGGTGTTAAAAAAAAATTTAACAAAACCGATTGCACCTATATTATTTTTTTTACTCTATGAATTACCAAATAAACAAATTTAATACTATTAATCATGGGTGTTGGCGTGTTCGTGTCAATGCTTTCTAGGTGGGGGTGTTATCTGCATTCTGATTATTGCTAGAAATTTGAAAACCTTCTCTCTCTCTCTCTTAAAGGTTTCTTCTACAAACTAAAGCACATGTTATGAGTCTTTATGCACAAGTGACAGTGTTTATCTTTCAGCTTACCGCAGATTGGTTTCCCCCTGGTGAAGCTTCCATCAAGAGAGCACATATTGAGAGATTAATATATGACCTATGTGAGAATCATTCTGGAGGAAGTTCTTCATCTATTGGCAGTGACATGCATTGTTATCCTAATGGTAGCAAGACAACTAATGAATATGGAAATGCCGAGCAGCTTGTTTCAGAAAAATCTGTTCCTACACAGGATTGTCATGTCAGTTCACTAGTTGGCTCTGGAGTTGAGATGACTTTATTACAAACTTCGTCTTCGAGGAGTACTCAATGTGCCAGCAATACAGGATTGGTTTTAAGGGAGTTTTTTGAGCCAGGATCTGCTTCGGGATCATTTATTGATGGACACTGTCAAGCCTTCGAGCATCGATCATCTCTCAATGAGCTTAAGAGACCTATTTCTCCAATTCAGGTAAGACAAACATTATCACTCTACTTGCAGGTACTTGGAACTATTATCACTGTTAAAATATGAATTAAAATTAGAAATGATCTTTGCTTCTTTGACCTATTCATTAGTTTCTCGTCCTCTTTAGAAAATAGTTGTTATCCCTCTTTTTCCTTTTTGGGTCAGTTTCCTCTATTATTTTGGGTATGGTGTGGGTTGGGGCCTTGGAGGTGAACTTCTTGTATTGCCTGTCTGCTTTTCTTTCATTGTAATATGGTAGTTAGGACAAAACTGGACTCACAACGGTGGTATCAATTACACAATCATGAAACATATAGATTTATATGTACATAGACATGGATAAACATAATTGTCTGTGTGCAGTCTTGTGGAATAGAGGTTTAGAAGGTAACATGATATGGGAAGTTGGATTTATATATACATACATACACATATTTATCAATGATCTTACCCTTTTAATTTTTAATTTTTTTAGCAAAGACATCAATCATCTTACTTTCTACTGCAAGCATATGGACGATTAAAAATCTAGTCAGAGTGAGGTTACCAACCATTTAATGTTGGGAGAAGTTAAACTTAAATGCCTATAATGGAGTACAAAATATTTGACTCATCTAGCATTCAATTTCAAATATTGTCACAAGAACTATTTTTAAGTCAGATACATGAAACAAGCTTCTTTGGATGATGTCCTTAGAAAGAAGAGAGACAGATTATGTTTGGCTAAAACAAGGTGGCTTTTGTAGGACCACAATGTTAGTGTAATTGGCTCCTCTGCTCGTCTTTCCTTGCATGCTCAGCACATGAAAAACAGAGAGACAGATCATGTTCCATTTGAGGTTACATTGGGTTATTCCTATAAATATTCTAATATTGACATTTAGGTCTAAAACTAGCTTTTTAGGAGTGCAAGTGAAATTTTGTAGGGCTAGTTTCGTTCAAATATTAACGAGAGAGATTTTTACTCACCATTTTTTGTTCAATCTCTTTCTTGTGGTGGATGAACTAGACTTTCCTAAGCTGTTCTTGGTGCAG